AAGTACTTTAGTATCCTTAAAGTTAGAAGAGGTAGGATTCAAATGTTCTAGCAGAATATGAAACTAGCTACCCTATTTCCTCCTTGCCCTACCTCTCAAATAGGCTTATAATATACACCATACAAAATCTACAATAGGTAAAAAGCATATCTTAGAGACCACAGCTGAACTAGGTAGAGAAAGGAATGTGTTATTTGCATGAGCGTTAGTGACAGTACATATGGAATTAAAAATCAACCATTATTGATGACAACCATGTTGACCTGTTTTTAAGGGAGTTTGGTAAACAATTGGTGCAACAGCTGAGTGATGTTTCAGAGGCCTTCCTAAAAACTTCTGGTTTTTAGGACAGACAAAAAGCAATCCACGTGTAATCTTAAATCACAAAAGGTTTTTTAAGCATAACTGCAGGAAACGTATTTCCGAGAAACGTGTGAAAGATGAACATACCCATCTAGCTCTTTAAATTGCTAAAAAGCTTTCCTGGGAGGAAGTAGAAATGAAGCAACTTGGGTTACAGATGGCTTTGAGGTTCTGGGGTAGCCGTTAAGCTGCTAAAGAAAAATGGAAGTATCACTGTGTTACTTTTTGTTTTCTTAAAAGACAGAGATAAAACATCTAGCAGGATTTTTCAGCACTATCTTTGAGAGCATTTTAGCCTCTGAATGTTGGGTAATAGCGATGCCTTGCAAGCAGGCTAATTCAGTTTTCCCTTCATGAGGGACAAGGGAGCAGATCAGATGTCGTTCTCTGCTTAGTGTTTTCGTGTACATGCTTCCTAACCGCTCATTATTCAGCCTGAAGTTTTGGGTTTTTCCTTTTGGGGTGCTGTAGAGACAGTCAGGGTGCCTAACTCACTTGGAAGGCCAGGTGCCTAAAAGCTAGGCATCACAGGGTCTAAGTGAGTTAGTATGTGTTGGCAAGATTTGCGTTTGGAGCCCATTGAGAACTCGGCTTGTCATCGGGGCTTTGAGTTTCAGGTGAGAGCATTGCTGTTGTCCCTTTGTAGATTTTAATAGCTTTTGTATAGCTTAGGCTGTAGAATCATAACCTTAAACTTAGTTAAGAATGAGTTTTTAAAACATTTTCTGTCCAGGTTTACAGTGTTACCTGTCTGTAGTTCTGGTACTCTTGCCATGTAGTCTAGGTCCTCATTAGACCATCACCATGAGGATGTGAAGCAGGCACTTGACACCAGGTTTTCTCATCCGTACTGCTGCTATCCACATGTCCTGTGAAGTCTGAAGGGTAGACTATCACACAGGTTTTTCTGACAGATCACAACTCAGAAGTTGGGTTTAATAGCCTGGGCTAGCACTACTAACACAATGGTGTTTTCTCCCCTGCATGTAAAGTTCCTCTTGATTTCTGTAGTAGTTATAGAGAGTTTGTGACTCTGGCTGCTTCTGGAGTCTTACAGGCAGTCATGATTTCCATCATCTGTATCCTATCTCTAGGTAGCTTTCTGATAAAAAGAGATGGAAGAAGTGAACAGACGATGAAACAGCTAAAGTTTTTGGAAGTTTTCTTTGCCCAAAACGTATCTTCCCAGTTAATTCTGTTTGTGAGGGCAAGAGTAGGCCCCAACACTGAAGAAACCAGGGACTAGAAATTTATGGGACGTTTAAGGAGGGGACGTTCTGGTTCTACATCTTAAGATGCAAAGCAGGTACACATAATTGCATTCATTATGTTCACTTGGATGTAATAGTATGAAACAAAACCACCCTCACATACCTATGGGACAAAGAGCTCACAGTATGAAGAGATATCCTGAAAGGTCTGCATTTATGTTATAGTAGCATTACTTAACGTTTAAGTCTTTTCACGCAAACCAGAGTTCACAAAACAGTGTTGCCAAGACTTGCAGTTTGCTTTCTATCCAGAAAAATACCTGACTGGTCTCACCGAAACGTGTTTTCTCCCAGGCTTCCTCTCGAGGTATTAAGAATGTTTACTCCGTAGAGCAAAAGAAAAAGAAACAGGAAGAAATAGAAAAAAGAATTGCAGCTTCAGGTTCTGGAGGAGAAGGAGGACTGAGAGTAAGTTTAAAAAAGAAACAACACAGTGTAACTGTCCATATATTCAATGAGAAAATCCTGTTTTTTTGTCATCTACAAGATAGAATAACTCTAGGAATAACCAAGAGGAAAGGAAATGGAATAACAACGGACTCACGATTATTATCACACGGTGTTCTCAGTGAGACTTCAGTTCAGGGACGCAAAGATGGCAGAGAGCTTCCCCCCCCCCCTCCTTGCCCAGTTTCTGCACCTACAGTGCATCAGTTGTAGAGTACTCTCAGCACTGGGACTCCTCACGGAGTTGACCTGTACTCAGTGTCCCTACTCGGTACTGCTTTAGATTTTCTATAAGCTCTGAGGGAAGAGAGAAAATGTACAAACTAAGTAGGGTAATGACTCTGGGTTTCATGTATCCCTCTCTCTTTACAAGAGGGATATACACCGTTAGCACAGATTCTGGTCAACTTTCCTGTAACTACTACTATTTTTCTCATGTAAGTTTTGTCTCAGAAGGCCAGGCAGAGATTTAATTAAGAATTAGAAACTCTCAAAGGCAATAGATGCATCTGGTTATTGAAACAGCATCTTTGTAAGCCTTCATCTCTTACCCTTATTGATGTATACAACTCAGGGGCAGGAGTTTGTATAAACTGCCACTGGTGAGCTGCATGTCCCTCCCTTGCTGGATATAAACAGTGTTAGAATCAGACAAGCTTGTGGTTGAGTTTGTTTTGGGGTTTTTGATTCTTTTTTTCCTTTCCTTATCTTCATACAGACCTGTGGCATATATTGTTGTTTTTGTTTTTAGTGGCAGGTTGGATAAAGAAGTATGAGTTCTGAAGAGAAGATGGATGTTTACTGCCAATAACTTGCCGGTTGCTGCAGCTGAGTGGCACTTACTCATCATGTGGCTTTTGCTGTTTGCATCTGAAGACTCAGCAGTACTTTGCCATTGTGGGAGAACCGATGTGGAAACATACACTAAGAAACTTAGGAACTAACTGAACACTAAAGTTTTGGCCAAATTGTTTGTTTTATGTGCATGTTTTATTGCTTCCCTGTCAAGGGAGAGAGAGATGGGTTTTCTCCCATGGAAGTGGTCTCCATACTTGTAGTCAGTCTGTATGTGTGTGCTGTCTGGTCAGTTGATGTCTGTCTGTCTGTGTATGACTGGCTTAGGCACAGCTCAGGTGCCCATGTGTTGTTTTTGACGCTTATTTCAAGCTCTACAATTAAACTTTTCTCTTAAGTCCTCACTTAACTGTTCATAAATAGATATATTTGAATATGTGGGTGACAGCATTTCTCTTCAGTTTCAGTTTCCAGACTTTTGAACTGCTTAGGGATTTAGTGCCTTTTTTCAAAAAAGAAAGTGGGTTGTTAAAATTGGAAGCATTTTGTGATGCTAGTTAAAAATAATTAGAAACCTTTATAAACCCTGTATCCTTATAGCAGGAAAGCTCTTTTATTACTAGTCTAATAATTGTTCTCCTCGTTTTCTGTTGTGGATTTCTTTTGAGTCTGTAAGTATTTATAAAGAATACTGGAAGTTAAACATTATATTAAAAATACTGTTATTAATTGTTCTCCTTTATTACCACGAGAGGGCAATGCTGCACTTCTCAGGATTTAGAAAAGGAAAAAAAAAAAAAAGCAAAAGACTCCGTGCATCTCTTGGATGGCTCATTTCCTCAAGTTTCTGTGCTATCTAGGTGTGTTTGTTACAGCGCAGTAACATTTGCTAAATGCCCAAAGCTCTGTCGCTTTTATTCTCTACTCAGCAATGTCTGTAATTCCTTTCCCAAATGTGAAGCTGCCTTTGGTTATTTAGAGCTAAACCACCGTGTTACAACTAGACGAGCAACAGCAGCCTCGACCCGCTGCTTTGTTAGGGGAGGGAAGTTTGTGGCAGCATGATCATCACTAAGAGTCTAGCTCTTCTTTTCCCTGGAGAGCATTATGCTTGGCTTCAGTATCTTTCTGGCCCTATTTCTGACCTAGTTTAGGCTATAGAGCTTTTTTTTTTCCCCTTTCCTTGAACTAAATATTTCTCTTTCCTTTCCCAGTAGTGTCTCATGCTGTCTTAGAAGCACAGTCCTGACACAATGTGTTTCCTGGCTTGGCCTTTAGAATTGAGTTGAGAAGGGAGACTTTTCAATATTAATAAAATGTTTGGGCTAAAAAGCTGTGTCCTTGGCAGATGAGTATCTTTAGTTTCCTTTAATTGCTGGCAATTGCTCTCCTCACTGTATTAACTGGTCATAGTGATTTTTTTTTTTTAAGTCTGATGAAAAGGCATTGAATTGTATAATAAAACACACTAAACATTAATTTGAAACGTGAATTTCAATCTAAGTCCTGCAAAGACACTTAAGCACCACTTAATACTTAGTTTCTTGGGATATTTCAAACTTAATAGATTCCTTTCTTCATCCTCTTATCATACCACTGACCCAAATCTGTAAGGGGAAGAAATTACCATCAGTCTCTTCACCCAGGCCCCTGCTGTGTGAAAGAGCCAGTACACTGACCAAACAGGGGTCCGTGTCTGATGAAGATCTTGAAGACTTTAATTTTAAACCGTTGAAAGAACCTAGTGAAAGAAATGACAGTTCCTGGTGACCCATTGATCTTTCGGTGCTGTCGGAACTGGAGTTTGGTGCGTGAAGCAGTCACTGCTCTGCGGCCCCAGGCAAGCCCGGCCTGGGCTGCTCCAGGTGCTGTCCCCAGGAGAGGCGCTGGGTGTTTGGGTAAGAGCTTACCACCCTGTTTGAACACCCACGCTGCTCCTCATCCACTCTTAGTCCTGCTGAGGCAGTTGGCTGCTTGCGGCTGTCTGCCTGGCAGCCGTCCTGGAAGGTGGGAGTAGAGGTCTGAATGGCCTCCCACGAAGTAGACCTTGTATTTAAGAGGGGATTCTTGCAGTGCAGAATTACGGTAGAAGAAAACACCGCTCTTCTCTCTCTGTCCCTTAGGTAAAAGCCAGACATGTCTGTGCTTTTTAAGAGTCCCTGTTACGAATGCCAAATTTACTCCTCCAGCTAAGAAACACGTCAGCAGATTTGGGAGTGTCTAGTTCTTGATTACAAATTCCTGACTGATAAAGTTATTTTTAAAGAAGTTTCTATACCATACCCATCTAACTGTTCAGATGGCCAGTCTGTACTGAATCTGGGAAGTTATTTGGCTAAGTGAAACCCCCTCTTTTGGTTTAAGTTTTTTGGTAGCATTAATGGCAGTTGAGAACAAAAGAAGCAAACACAGCAGTTCGGTAGTGGACAAACAATGTATGAGTGGACTGTTAAGTGGTAAGGCTGAGAGCTACGTAGATCAGAGCTGCTCTATCCCTGTAGAACTATACACCTCCCCTCTCTTTACCAATCAGTGCTGCACTAGGCAAATGATAAAGACAACAGGTATTTTGTCCTCATTTCCCCCAAACCTAGATGTTTACTTCCCCTCAGAGGCTGTTAAAATGCATCCGCTCATGTAGATTATCTAGGCAGTTGCCATTTTGTTTGCTTTACAGCAGCACAACTGTACCTTTTTTCTCCACCTTCTGAAAGCACTTTCTGGCAGATGGATAGAAAAAACTCCTGGCAGTCAAAGGCCAGTGCTCGTAAACTGAACTGAAAGGGCTGCCTCTCGGTGACTGCGATAGCATAATCTCTGTGGCAGTAACAGAAAATGAAAACATCTGCTACTGCATATTGTTAAAATACACAGATTATGCCAAGGGAGAGAGTGTTCGGGGCAGAACTCCCCGAGGTTTGGGAGGACACAGAAGCTGCCTCCCCACGAGCGTAGGGAGCACCGCTGCGGCCCTTAGGAAAACAGATGACTTCAGCATGAGGATTTGGCACGGTGACAGGCCAAATCCTTGGGACACAGCTCATCAGGCACAAGCAGTGCCAGCAGTTGGACCGGGATGGAAAAACCTCTCCAGCCCCATAAACATTCACATGATCCCACGTGTCTGCTTCACCTTACTTTAGATTCCTAACATAGCACAGGCTAAGACAGTAGGAGACACAGAGCAAAGAGAAATAGTTCTCCCTCCTTCCCCGTCAGGTACTGCGCGTTCACAGCCAGCGAGGCAGCACAAAACAGAAACCCAACAAGAACCAAACCCTTGCAAGCATCTCCAGCAGATGCTTCTGTAACACTGTGGTGTGGCAAACAGCTCATCTCCCTGATCTAAAACAAACACATATAATGAATTCAGTGTTGGGTCTTAAGTTATAAGAAACCTGCTATACCTTCCCACACACATATATTGACACCTCCCGATTTCACTCGTCCCCACCAACAGCCCTTGAACTAGTTTGCGTAGCTTTTACGTATCATCGCTAAATCGTTCTTGGAAAAAAAAGGTGGTAATGAAAAGAAAGGAGTAATTATCAGTGTAATAAAGAGAAAAAAAAAACAAAACAACCCACCCCTGTCCTCAATAATTTATTTAAATAATCCTGCTTGGAAGAAGAACTCCAGGCAATATATGAAGAGCAAGGTGACAGAAGGTACCTCCTTGCAGTGAGAAGTAACAGGCGTTACATTTCCAAACTAATTCTGAATTGCTTCCAGCATGGTGATGCTTATTTGACATTATACAATACTAATAGTTTTTAAAAGTAATCTTACATAATTTAGCCAGCTGAAGTTTTAGCACAGTTACTTATTTGCAGCCAGCAGGAGCTCCCAGGGGGTTTGTCTTATGATCCAACAAGGATTTTGGGAAGAGGTTTCATTCCAGCTCATAACAGCTTCTACTTTCCAGGATTTTCAGCCTCCTCAATGCTCCCATTCAGCAGAGTCATACAGCAGCAGAATAAATGAAAATCACTACATAACGCTCTTACGATCACCTCCCATGGCCAATTCAACATTTCAGCATCCCATGGCCTGCCCTTTTAACAAGAAACTATTTCACAGTCTGAGCAGACCCTGCCTCACTTGGGGGAACAAAGGAAGAGCTGCAAGTCTTTCCTGTTGGTGCTCCATAATTCAGTTCAGCCTCTTGAAATCTACATCAGATATCTTAATACCATAGATTTTAGCACAGAAACTTCAAGCATGAGCCACTACAGCTAGCTGGTCAAACAGTGGGTTTTATTTTCCCACCAGATACATTCTATGTGAAGTCTGTTCTGCCCCCCATCACTGCAACAAGGGCCCCATGTCCCTGAGCAAGGTTTTGCTGCTCAGCTTTAGCTCTGTAAGTCAAGCTTTAGGCTCCTATCAAACTCCCCAACTCCTACATTGGATTTAGTACACTAAAAAAAATACCACTTACTAAATTAGCAAGACTTACCTTCTGAGTAAGGTGCACCCAACCCCTTCCACCAGATTTAGCTAGCTTACTGCATTTTATTTTTGTTTACTCCAGCAAGTACTTCTACTTTAATATCCTCCCCTGCTGTCCACACCCACCTCACACCACAACTGCTTTAAATGCAGTAAGTGCCACCTGCAAGCTTTTTACACAGATTAGGTGGTCGTGGCAATACTCTAAGTCAAGTCCTTTATAGATCTCACATTCTGGAACTGCCTAAATTGAAGTTTTAAGTCAGGAAGCATTTTAATGTGTGTATTTTTTGGTTTTGTTTTTTTTTAAGGTGCTTGAGAACCTTGAATCAAAAAAGACTATTTTGATAGCTACAGTCCAAGCACATAAACTAGTTCACGTTTAATTTAAAATCTTGGTTTGGATTTACCAGGATTATTTGTTGAAGTTTAATATTAAAGTAAACCTAAGAATACTTTTTTATCATTATCTGTTCCTGATTTATTACATGTAAACACCTTCAAATACTTTAAAGAAAAAACTTAATGCTAATGCAAACTTAATCCTGGATGGTGGAAATACATTTATGTTTAAAAGAGTAACCGTTATTTCAAAATAAACATCTGACACTTTCACTAGTGATTTTTTTTTCCCCATCTCTGTTCATTTGAAAACAGATCTCTCAGTGCATATATTAAGATGATTTTTTTTCAGCTGTGCTGCATTTTTTAAAAATAACATTACTTACGGTCTGTTCTCTGCTCCCAGGAGGGCTAAATACATTGCTTCTATGCGAACTGGGCCTTCCTATGGCTTTTCAAAGGATTTACTGCTTGAGTATATGTTTCATCTTCCTAGAGAATATCTCATAAAATAAGAATAAAAGGTTGCCATTTTTCTTTCTAATAACATGTTTGTAATTATGTACTGCTACTTAGAATGATGCACCAAGCAGGTGCGAACTGTTTGTATTTAGCAGATATTTTTAGACAGCAAGGTAGAACAGTTCCACAGAAGTGAGATACAGCACGCTGATTTTAATAAGGCATGGAACATGAAAGAAGGTGGTCTTGAACCTGTCTAGCCAGTAGATATTTTGTTGTTAATTTTAAAGGCTATGTTTTAAAATTAAACATCAAAAATTACAGAAAAGTACCGCTTGGTACTTTAAAAAAATATTTCAAGAATGCTTTTGATTTTTTTTTTTTCTTTCCCTGCAAAGAAAAATTATTTTTCAACAAAATCCAGGTATTTCTTTGCTATCTGTAGTGAGCGAATGCTTGCCTCGTTCACTGTG